TTGACAAGGTGACAGAGCGATTGTGTGATATTGCTTTTACACACAACAAAGACTTTAGTCTTAATATGGTTAATATGGAGTAGCTTACGTTTTAGATATATTGCCTTTGCCTCTTTTTAATTCGCCAAACGAAAAAAATCCAAAGAAAGCCAAATCAGACCCTTCCCCGTAATTCTTGCTGAATAAAACAGTGTTGAACGAATCGCTTCAGTGGATGATTCAATGACTCCTTTAATTGTTCTGTTGCTGCATGAAACCGTATTGTTAAACGAATCGATTCCGTGAATGATTCAATGGCTCGCTCAATTGTTTGATTCCTGAATAAAACAGTGTTGAACGAATCGCTTCAGTGGATGATTCAATGACTCGTTCAATTGTTCTGTTGCAGCATGAAACCGTATTGTTGAACGAATCGATTCTGTGAAATATTCAATGACTCTCTCAGTTGCTTCGTTCCTGAATAAAACAGTGTTGTTGAAAGATTCTGTTCAGTGAATGATTCAGTGACTGGCTCATTTGTTTGATTCCTGAATAAAACAGTGTTGTTAAACGAATCAATTCCGTGAATCATTCAATGACTCACTCAATTGTTTTGTTGCTGTAAGAAACAGTGCTGTTGAATGGATAGATTCTTTGAATGATTCATTGACTCACTCAATTATTTTTTCATGAATAAATCAATGTGCTTGAACGAATGCAATTAATGATTCAATACCCGCTTATAGTAGGCTACTTGTCGCCGCCTAATGGTGTAACGATGTAACCTGCAGAAAGAGGCCATGTAAAATCTCCACTGATACCTAGACTGACAAAAGAGGGGAAATCAGCTGTTATATATAGTATGTTTGAGATTGAAGTTTGGTGAGCTTTAATTTATCCTAATTTAATTTTAATGACATTTTATTTTCGTGTGCACTATAAGGAGCAAATATGGAACATCACAAGTGATTTTCTAGTGAGCCAACAATTCTAGAAGACAATGCCAATTTTTTTTTAACTAGACTAGTAAACAAGAGAAGAGAACTTCTTATGTCATACATGTAGTGCTCTTCGTGACAGTCAGTGAGTTACTATTATATGACTCAAGCATGTTTATTATCTGTATAATGTTACACTCAGATTATCTCCTTGTTTCATCAAGTATTATGCACGATCACAGGAAACTTCTGTATAAACACATGATGAGAGCAGCTGGGGCGGTTCAGGACGTCACATCTACGCCATCTTCATCACTCACACCAGAACATCAGCGAGTGACCAGAACAGACCGTCACCAAACAGCCCTACGCAAGTGACCTCTAGAATTTCTTAGATGCGGCAACATGTGATTCCTAAGAGCATCTGATTAAGAAGATTTATTAGCTGTTTACCCCGCTGCTGGTTATTTACTCAGCGATGACATGTTTCCACAGGCCACATCTGGGAGTTTCTGTATCGCTCAAGACAAACTAGCCAAAAGATCCAATTCAGTCATAATGACACAGGACATCAGGCTTATCATCTTACCGTGGCTATTTAGGGTCAAAGCAGTTCTTGTAAAATTAAAATGGACATTTCTGAGGAACAAACCCATTAAAGCAACCTTTTATTTAGAAATTCAAAGAAAAAAGGGCCTTGACCTTACTGAGGAGGTGATGGTCTCCTGAGAGCTCTGAGACCCAGTCAGATCATTTTATTCCATATAAATAAAAGTATTGTTGATATTGTTTTCTGTTGAAGAAATGAATGCAAATGCATTCAATCAAACAAGAATACTGACATTTTTATCAAGGTGCATTGCTTCCAATAGATATACGACAATTATGTAGAAATTTGTACAGATTCAAACGTCAGTCCTTTGACAGAAGAAAAAAAAAACAAATGAACGAAACTTCAACTTTCAAGGCTGAGAGAGGTTATATCTGTAAATCTGTTCTTGTGGAAGGTGGCACCACAGGAACTCACTTTTTTGAGGAAATGATCCCAGGATGCAGCAGTGATTCAAGCGGTGTGTAGTGAGAGTTGGAGGAAATGCAAAGCCATGAACATTTATACAATGCACAACATATCTGTAGGTGATTCTGATTTAAATATAGCTTATATGAAAATATAGCAATGCCATTTTAGTGACAATTTTACTCATGCATTAAAAACTAGAGAAAATTATAATTACAAACTTTTATACTGGCTTGAGAAAGCATGGCCTGGAAGTTTAAAATGACTTTACAATGATAAGATAGATAGACAAACAGACAGACAGACAGATAGATAGATAGACAGACAGACAGACAGACAGACAGACAGATAGATAGATAGATAGATAGATAGACAGACAGGTAGATAGACAGACAGACAGACAGATATATATATAGATAGATAGACAGACAGACAGACAGACAGACAGACAGACAGGTAGATAGATAGATAGATAGATAGATAGATAGATAGATCTACACTTAAATATATAAACTTCAGCATTCTCATAATTAATGTATTCATTGAAATTTAGAAAGACGGACGGATTGCATGTTCATGAGATCTCTAGTGTTGTCAGTATTGTAGTATGTGTAGTGTAGTAGCCTTCTGGAAGTAGGGATGTTTCTCTCGTCGGCGCTTTTACAATGTTTACGGGAAAGGAAAGTTTCAGGAAGTAGAGAAACCAACTCAAGGCTCTTCTGCTTTCAAACTCAATCCTAAAACATGTATTGACCGATTTACCAAAGAAAAACAGTAGCAGTGTAAAGATCGCAGGAATAATCAATCTCTTCTAAGACGGAGAAAAGTCTTCTGGAGAGTGTTTTTTCGTGTAGATCAGATCAAATCTGACAGGTAAAAACCACTTCTCATTAATGCCGGTGTTCCGGTGAATTCAGTTTCCCTGTTTCCCCCTCACAGCGCCTGCGCAACTTCGCAGTGTTGCCAAGTCCGCGGTTTCCCCGCGGTAGTTTTTAGTAGCAATTGGGCTTTTTTTATATATATATATATATCCTGGCAACCCTGAAACTTCAGTACTAAAATCATGACGTCATGATTTCGCCCCGGCTAAGCAAGTCAGCTTATGGTGGTTTTGCTGTCTTTCTGCAAGCAATGTTCATTTCACCATGTTAATTAGATAATTTGTAATTAAATACGTATTAATGTACGTGACGTCCTGTTCAATCGCAACATAGAGTCAGACTCAGATTTCCCTGCTAATTCTAACTTTTGCCTGTTATGAAGTGTAACACCATTCATTACAATTAGACAGTTAAATTCCTTCGTCAGGGGCATTCTTTTGTTCAGACGCCCATTTCCATTTCCATTTTATTGTTATTGTTGTTGTTAGTGTGTGTGTGTGTGTTTCTGTCAAACAACGTAAGCCTTGTTGAAATAATAACAAATAAACTATATTGCACAATGACTAGTCTCGGTTAGACGTAATTATGACATTTAAAAAAACATCAGGAGCATCACTCTGAGTTACCTAAAATAATAAAAGAGAGACTAGTCATTGTGCAATATAGTTTATTTGTTATTATTTCGACAAGGCTTCAGTTGTTTAACAGAAACACACACACACTAACAACAACAAGAACAATACAATGGAAATGGGCGTCCGAACAAAAGAATGCCCCTGGCGAAGGAATTTAACTGTCTAATCGTAGCCTAAACGTTACACTTAATAAAATAGGCCAAAGTTAGAATTAGCAGGGAAATCTGACTCTATAGCGATTGAACAGGACGTTACGTACATACATGTATTTAATTACAAATTAGCTATCTAATGAACATGGTGAAATTAACCTTGTGCTTGCGAAAAGACAGCAAAACCACTAAAACTCGCTTCGCCGGGGCGAAATCATGACGTCACGATTTTCGTACTGAAGCTGCGCATGCGCTGTGAGGGGGAAACAGGGGAACTGAATTCACCGGAACACCGGTACAGTGTGTCAGAGTCAACACGAGCTGCTTTATCGCAGAAACACAGTGTACTCTGAATAAACAGCTTTACATATCTGAACTTTAGTTACTTGTCTTATGTAATATAGCAGCTTTTTGGAAGTTTGTTAAACTGATCTGATCTTATGTACAAAGATACGCCGATTATGAACAACTAAACTGTGTTTCATAAGTCGCCCACTATATTCAAGCCCTGTAAAAACACAGAAAGTAGTTCACTTTATTGTTTTGAAGTCTCACACACACTTGTTTAGCTGTTTAAATGAGGACATATAGACTTCTAGTGTTTTTATATGTATATATTCACACACACACACACATGTTGGTATTGGTGGTTTACGGGGACTCTCCATAGGCGTAATGGTTTTTATACTGTACAAACTGTATTTTCTATTGCCCTACACCAACCCTACACCTAAACCTACCCCTCACAGGAAACTTTCTGCATTTTTAGATTTTCAAAAAAACGCCATTTAGTAGCCTATGTCTTTTAAGCCTTTTGAATTACGGGGACACAGGTAGTGTCCTCATAAACCACCTTCATATTGTAATACCTGTGTCATACCCATGTCATTATACAAATTTGTGTCC